ATGTATGTAGTATATATGTAACATTAATGTTTAGCTCGCAGGTCGGTATGGTGGAGAGAAAGCAACGAGGGAGTCAAAACAAACGGCAGCAACATCCAGCAACAGAATCACTAGCATGGGGTCGACTACGCCAGAATGCTTCAGAGCTGTGCCGGAGGGAAGTTTCTCAGACTGAGCACGCACCATGACCAAGCTCTCAGCCACAAGCATCCAGGCTCCATCGCGCCCTTTGCGTCCTCCTTCTGTGGCCTGCCGGGTGGAGCTTCGCTTCGCCAACAGGCCTGTCACCATAAGACCTGCCTGAAGATGACTGTCGCGGCTTCTTTTGCTGTTTTGGCCCGGGCAGCGCTCCGGTCCACAACGAGGAGTATAGATGTCGCTAGTAGTGTCTTGTCTTGCAAATCCACGGAGTCTGCACGCCCAGTCCCAGTCTTTCAGCTCCCCTCCTGTCTCTCCGCAGGGTCCCTGGAGAAGCTCACGACGAAGGACTCTTAGCTGCCCCCGTTGCAAACAAGCACGGATCATGGGGACTAAGTTACTTTCACTTTCTTGCAGGACAGCTGTACATCCTCAGTTCCCAAGGTCTAGAAGGCGTTTACTCGCCGTTACAGCGCGATGCTAGGCAGCCTCCATCCAAACCGGTAGGTTCGCAACGGAAAGCCAGCGCCTGACTTGCTTGCCACAGCAGGATGTCCACTCTCGACATGTCTGCAAGCTGTGGTGCAAAACATGCCGAACGAAATAAAGTGCGGCAGGATCAGATGCCCCAGCTGGAGAGCCTCAAGCAGTCACTCTTGCGGGCAGTGGCTACGGAAGATCAGGACTGCAACTTCGATGTTGGTGGTTTCCCTTACCATGGCAATGCAGACCGCTGCCCACTGCAATTTAGGGGAACTCTTGATCTGCAGCGACCCGAGTGGCTTGAAACACTGCATGTCGGCGAAGAGTCGCGTCGCCCGACAACACCAGCCAGGGCTGTCTATTCTTTTTTGTATGCCTCCGCGTGCAGGCGGCAGGAAATGGCAGGCAAAATGGCAGCATCTGGGCTGCTGGAGTTCCCAAGCCTGCCCGAGGTGAGCCTTATAGTGCCAAAGCAGGCATCGAGCAGTTGCGATGATGACCAAGTGCCCGCAAGGACGCGATCTTCCGGAGTGCAGCCGCACTCGAAGAGACAGGCTGCCGTGACTCAGCGAAGGCCCCTCACCACGAAATTCGAAGTGCGCACGTCGTGAGAAAGGGGCGGCAATTGCAGGCTCCAAAGCTTTAAGTCTTGAGGTCTTGGCTTATGGGGGCCACGAGGACTTCTGGCTGCTAAGTACTGGTTCCGGGAGTGCGTCCATGTTCTTGAGTCTATTCCATAACAGGGAGAGCTGCAGAGGCCCAAAGACATGTTTGAGTTGGTGAAGGGGGTGCCATCGAGTTAAATTCATTTCTTTGGTGCAACTCTTCGAGAACCTGAGACTTTGGCACGGCTCGGGGTCCGGTAGTCGCGGGAACTCTCGCCGGATACTTGCTCATTGCACTTGCATCCAGCAACAAAGACCTGGGTGTCGTTTTTTTTGGCGCATTTTGGCTGATGGCGGCTCTCAGGTAGCGGGCCGGTGGGCCTTGGTCTTTTCCACCCAGACGGAGCCCGGAGAAACGCAGGAGGACGCCTGGCCTGAGACAAGCAACGCGAGACGCACCTCAAGACTCTGTATCTCTGTGTCTTTTGCAGCCGAAAACTCTGACCAGGAGACCCCCTTCTCCGCGATCACGGCTGCGCTGTACCGGGCGCACCGACATCACTTTGTCTTTTTGGAAGCCTTCGGCACTTGCACCCGTCGCGGGTTTCATGAGCTAATCTCGATGTGGCAGCACACGGTAACTACTGTTAAGAAGGTGGTCAGGGGAAGGGCATGCGGCACCATGTCACCCAGGGCTATTCAGCTGTCAGTACTTTGTCGTACAAAGCCGATTTGCGAGGTTTTCTTCCGCTTCGCACCCTTTCTGGCGGGTGCGCAGGGAAGCTCGAAGGCAAGCCTTTCCAGCTTCGGTTGGAAGTTGCCAGCATACTCCTGGCACAAGAGTTGAGATGCTTATAGCGCACGTCGCCTGACCTCGACAAACTGTCTTGTCAGATCGAACTCGCTGGACCTATATTTCCCAGCCTCTCGGTCGGCAATGAACAGCTCGTGGCTACTTGGACTTAACAATGTAACCTGTATTCTTAGGTCTTGCGGTGGTGATCGGGCTTTGTGTGAGCACGATCGGTTCAGAAATAACCCCCCCGAAATCGCCGAAATGCACTCCAGATTCTGAGCTGACCGCAGGTCGAGGTAAGATTCAAGCAGAAGAGTCTCCACGAGTTACCTCTCGCAAATTGTTCGAGTGTTCTTGAGCTACTGATATTCGTAGCATGTGACAGGTTGTCAGCCACCGCTCCCATTTTTCAGTTGCTGCTGGTTCGCGTGCAAGCACTGTCAGTACCTCAGGACTTTCAAGCCAAGCGGGTGGACAATCGCGTCGCCATTCGTGTCGGAGCGAATCTACAGAACCGGGTCTCTCACAGCCTCTCAACTTCTGCTACAAGTGTCGGGTGTGGGTTTCTTAGACACTGTGCAGGGAAACGGTCAGTTCCATTGGCTGCAAGGTGGCACTGGGTGATGAGACCTCAACGCAATGCGTGCAGGGTTCATTGTACCCTCAAACGGGAGAGCATACTGCAAGACACGGTGGAAAAGAAGTATTGTCGATGTCAAGATACCGCACGAAATCTGTATGCAAATTGCTAAAGTTGTATTCTGCATTGGGTTGTGATGTGATGTCTCCTCTTCTCTTGTTGTGGGGTATTTTCGCTACATGACACTATATAACGATAATCTTCATGGCTACGAGTGCATTGGAAATCCCCGGATTAAGTGTTGGCCGTGATGTTATGATTCGCTGGTGAGACTTCGGAGTAGTTTTTACTAGAACTGTTGCGCCCATGTACTGTACTCGTACTTAGGATCGTGAACCATATCTTTACGTTGCAGTTTTTGAAGCGAGAGCGAGCGAGCGAGTGAGAGCGAAAGAGAGTATATAGCTGTCAGGAGGCTCCAGTGGCCCCAAGTTGGACTTGCGTGTGAAGGCCAGCGCTGAGATGCCTTGCTCCGGAAAAGCTCAAGCCCCGAAGCCCCGGCCCATGGTAAGACTGGGAATAGAACATCAAGCTCCTCTCTGTTGTAGTCAGTAGTGACACAGTAGTGGTTCTTAAAGTTCATGACCGGTGGTGCCGAGAAGGGTGAGACTCCAAGCCTGCCGGACGCTGCCAGGGTGACCTGAAGGGGAGCGATGCCCTGGACCTGGGCGTCATTTTTACCAGCCCCGAGCTCTGAGAAGCGTGTCATCGATGAACGGGAAGAGCTTGGATGTTTGGAGAGGCGTGGTGTGATGTTCAGGTTAAGTATGTACTACTGCAAAAACAGAAATATCAACGATCATGTGATGACCTTGAAAAAGTGGGAAATTGAGCTCAGGGTGCGGATGTTTCTGAGGTTTCTCCTTCAAGTTGCCGAACTTGCCGGACATCGAGCTGCCTTTGCCCAGGCCCGTTGTGATCTAAGTCTTAAGCTTCTGGGACGCCAGAGTTGCAGAGATCTCTCCTCACAAGCCACTTTCGAAATAATCGTCCCAATCCTGTCGGAGCGCTGGATGGGGACGACTGGGGGATCGAGTGCTTGAGACCACCAGGGCCAACACGTCTGAAGCACGCTGCACCTGGAAGAATTGCACTAGAAGTGCCGCGGATACAATCATTCAACTCTTGCCAGTCCCGACAGACTTGGCGTAGCTGTAGGCAATTACTGTATCCTGCATGACTGCCTCCTGTTCTGCTAACAGTAATTACACGAAAAAGCGGCGGCTGCAACAATGCACTGCAGCAGTCTATCACACCATGCGGCAGTTGTAAATCCAAGCTTAAGCCAGTGTCAGCGTCGCCGTTTTAGGAATAGTTTGAGAAGCACTTCGAACCAAGGCCTGAAGGACGCCTTCGAACTACCTTCTGCGACGGAGGCCTTCGCATCTCCCGAGGTGCAGGGCTTGGGAGCACGCCACAGTGTCGATGTGAAAGCAGCAGACTTTGTAATTTCTGGTCATCACTCAGTTCCAGGCGGCCGTGGAGGCATCTTCGTGCTGAAGCGCTTGCCAGCGAAACCCTGACGCAGCGCAGCTGCAGAGCCTGGGCTTTTCGCCGATTCGCAGCAGCGAAATGGTCACGAGATGCAACTCGCCACCCTGCGCCATCCATGCTCCCGATGCTCTCTGAAAGGGAGCGGGCGTAGAACTCGCCGCTTGCCCCCGGTTCGGTCTGTTCCGGCCCGGACGAAGATTCTCAGGGCCTGGGCAGATCGGAGTTCGGGAAAGTGTATCCCTCCAGCACCGGATTCCGCCTCGTTCGGCAGACTCTGCCTCTGCCCAAAGGGAGGCTCAGCCTCCGAGCACGTGTGACAAGGTTTCAGCTCATCTGTGTCACGCAGTGAAAAGTTGCGTTCTGTAGGCCTTGGTCGAAATCGACGTGGTAGTCGATTGTGTTTTCCGATCTGGTCACTGGGCCTGCCTGCAAGCTTATCCGCTTGTGCACGTTACCGGAAGTTGTTGGCACCCGCCACAGAGTTCTAAGAAGTTAATGCCATGAGAGACCCCAGCACCTGCAATCCTAGAGCTGCTCTGCAACTGAAGCACCGAGCCGTCAGTAAAGTGGTATGCTAAACCTGACACAGCTGCAGAAAGCCACGAAACCCACCAAGTTTCACGGAGGCACAAGATAATATCTCAACACAGCCCCCCGCAAGCAACTTAATCCTGGATTCACCGCCCTTAGCGCTTCGCGACGCTAGCGATGGCTGACTTTGTACCAGCGGTAGACGAGGTGCAGGGCAGGGCATCGGTTGCATGGTTATACTTTGCACATTGACTCCGTGTTGAAGCCCCTAGAGTTAGAGGAAGCGGCTATTCATGTTTGTTGGTACTCGCCGTGGCAACAAGACTGTGCAAATCACTGTTGATTGCTATTCTGCTGATTGCTAATCGCCGCTACCCTTAAGTTATGTTTTCAGTGTTATCACTGATGCTGTTCCTCCTCCCCTTCACCTCCTACGACAGATCATCAAAGGAAGAACAGCAGCAACAACAACAACCACGACGAGTTCAACGATAACCACAATCGCAGCAGCAACAACAACAACGACAAGATATAAACAAAAACTGCAGCCCCGTCAACCCGTATATCTGCTTTGTGTCTGTACATTAGGTAGAGACGAAAACAATAGCCCCGTCATGTTGTTTTACCCCCCTAACAACAAAAACAACAACAACGACAACGGCAACAACAACAAGAACAAGAACAACAACAACAACAACAACAACAACACAGCAGCAGCTATGGTGTACAGGATCTGAAGGATTTGCAGACGATTTCTAGGATTTTAAAGGATTTGCAAGATTCCAAAAACTTTCGAAGGATGTCCAATGGTTTTCAGAGGCGTACGTCAGGTGTTCAAGGTTCACGCGTGTCTAGGCTCAAGAACTTGCGGTCTTTTGTTTTTGAGATTTTAGGCTTTAGGTTTGGGATTCAGCTCTAGGCCGCAGCGCCTAAAGGCCAGGCTTTCGAACGCATTGAGACCTTTCTTAAAAGCGCTTCCAAATAACACGAAAAACCGTCCAAAATTCCTGTGAAAACCCATCAGCATCACCACGTAATTAAAATCCTTCCAAACTCCTTTTGAAAATTCCAGACGAACCCAGTCAAAACCGCATAAACCCCTTAAACCCCATAAGGAGTTGCAGAATCCCATGACAACAGTACCTTAAATCCCTTGCAAGACGCATGAAAGCAAATCTACACTTCGCAGATTCCCATAATTAGGGTGGAAACTTGGTGTAGTGTGGACGGTTGTTGTAAACGAGGGCGTCAAAACACCGGACGGGGCTCCAGTTTGTGTCTCTACCAGCAGGTAGAGACAAAGTCCTGATTTCAATGGGGCCTTTGTCTCCACCTGCTGCTAGAGACAAAAACTGGAGCCCCGTTTGTTGTTTTGGCCCCCCCCCCCTTCCACAACAACCAACCACCCAGTTTACGGTGTATTTCTATCATGGCGCAGATGCTGTGTAAACCATGGCTTGCACTCCCCAAAGCTCTGCAGGCACCCCTTGCGGAAGCGTTCCCAAATGTTTCTAGTTGACATAAGTTGCGGGCTGCTGTTTTTGTCTGTACCAACGACACCAACAGCAACAGCATCCGCAGCAGCAGCTGCTGCTACTGCTTACTGCTACTGCTGCTGTTGCTGCTGCTGCTGCTGCCGCCATCACGACAGCGACGACGACAACGGTTCATTAGTAGGCAGTCTTGATTGCTGGTTTGCTGGTTTGGTCTGACTCCCAGTCTTAGCACAAGCATTCAACCCACCTTTCTGTTACTGTCATCACCTATGAGGCTGATCTATGCCGAATCAAACTGCGCAGGTCGACTTGCCACTGCCGCCAAGTCTGCCAGGGGTGGCCAAGGCTCCAGAGCCTTGTTTTGACCCAACATGCATGAGAATATGTATACAGTATACAGCTTCCATGTGTGTGCGTAATCCACCCCCTGCAATCCCTTAAAGAGCTGTTCCTGCAAGGGCGGAGCCGCTGAAAATGGCAGCACGCCTCCTGCCCAGCCTTTTCTGTCCTAGGACCATGGCAGAGATGCTTAGCCCAAGGAGTCGCCAAAGCCAATCCTGTCCCGTGCGCTGGTGATGAGGTCCTTGAGCCCATCCCCTCACAGAGACAGCCTTTCTTCCGGCCGCGCCTGGCCCTCGAAGATGACTTGCCGCGGGAGCTGCAAGCCGTGAAGCACGGACAAGAACTGACAAGATCTTAGAGTTAGTGCGCTCGATGCCTGCAAAACTCCAGCCAAGCCATAGCCACAGCAAAGATCACTCGGGCAATCTCCAGGCCTCGCCGTCCGCCCTGGCTTACGAGCGCCTGGATGTGGAGGAGGAGCTGACCCGGCCCAGGGGTCGAAACAGCGAATCCTGTGAGCGAATCTGCTGGAAGGGCATTGGACAGGCCGAACGATGTCCCCGACGATGCCTTAGAAAACCTACGACCTGTCGACAGGATTCCCGGTTACGGGCGTTCAAGCAGGCCGTTCACCCGCCAGTCACTAATCATTGGCTGCTTGCGACTTGAGTGTCGCCATGATTTGTGGATTTTGCATGTGCATGCAAAGTCGTGGAAGTGTTGCCAGGGCGAGTCACTGGGCAAGGGCGCCTATGGAGAAGTGTGCCAGCCACAGCTTGCAGCAGAGCTGTTGAAGTCGAACGGGCAGAGGTTGCTAAGCTTAATGCATCATGCTCGTGGCGAGGTTCAAAGCTATGGTCGCGGGCAAGTTCATGGCGGTCAAGAAGGCCGCGCCCAGCTTTTTGTCTTCCAGATCAAATGAGATAGTGGACCATCGGATGAATGCGAGGGCCTGGCAACCGAGTTGAATCGAGTCTGACTTGTGTCAACCGATTCTGGCAGATTTCCTTGGACGTCTCCCTCGGACAGCACGCGGTAGAGAAGGACGACGATTGCAGGTAAGAGTGTACATGCAGGTCATGGACCATATTGTGTACGCTGCCATGCTCAGCTTGTTACTGCTCATGCTGCCGTCACTAGAACTACGGCACAAGTATTGTTATAGCAGAGCAGCTACCAGCATCTCTGCTGTTGTCTATACGTGTTTGTTTAGTTGAGTTATAAATACCTCTGCTGATACATAGGTAAGTTAAAAACCAATATATACGTATTCTTGATCCGCAGTCATATGACTCTCACTGTTGATCCTTCCAGCCACTGCTGTAAAGACCTTGTCTGATTGTCTGATCTTGCAAGGAGTCCTTCTTTGCACAGGGGTTTTGGCTCTGTGGCAACAGGAGATCAACGGCCTCTTACAGGAGATCAACACACTCAAGCGCCTTAAGCACAAGAGGACACATCGCCGCGCTTGCGAGTCCCCACTTTTCTTTTCAGCACCAACAGTCGCATTGAATGTGCTTGTGTGTGTGTGTGTGTGGCTGTGTCTGTGTCTGTGTCTGTGGCTGTGTCTGTGGCTGTGGCTGTGGCTGTGGCTGTGGCTGTGGCTGTGTCTGTGTCTGTGTCTGTGTCTGTGTCTGTGTCTGTGTGTGTGTGTGTGCGTGTGCGTGTGTGCGTGGCTGTGTCTTTGTGTGTGTGTGTGTGCGTGGGTGGTTTGTGTGAGTGTGTGTATGTGTGTGTTTACTTTTGCAGGGGTGGTTCATCTCTGGAGTGCAGGTATGTCAACGTACGATGATTATATCCTATGTCGGTTGTTGATGCGGAGTGTTGGGTAGGGTTTGGTCTCATAACCTGTTGGTTATGAGCTTGATGATGTTGTGGTTGGGGTCATGCCGTGTTGTTTGAAACGATGGAGTAATGGGATGGTCTAGGAGATGGGGCCTGATACATCGGATCCTGAAGACGCATTCGAACATTTGTGGGTATTTCGTCTAGATAAATCATACGGCATTCCTACTGGGCCTCCAGTCCTCTTGAGCCCCCACCGCACTCCCCACTACCCCGACATCCCCCTGACCCTTTCACAACGATGCACAACCTTCGCTGTGCTCTTCACCACGTCAAGTGGCCATTGGTTCACGGGTACATGCCACCTTCAAGTGGCAAGTGGTTCACGGAAGCAAGTGCGGGTTGACCTTGCGCAGGGGCCATGCACTCAAACTACACACAAGCTCTCGAACATCCTATCTATAATAGAGCGGTCGACGTATGTTATTTGTTTATTTGTATGTCAAACTATCAGTCTTCTATCGATCTGTCTCGTTCCATGTGCGTTCTTTTCTATATTGTGTATAAAGTATGTGTGAGTGTGCATGTCCTGTGCTGGAAGACTTTGTCTAGCGGTTGAGCTGCCGGTTACCTTCGAATTGTTGTTTCGGGTGTTGCATGCCTGCCTCTTGGATCCCCACCTGCTCTTGAAACGTTTCATTTGGTTACGGTATCAAGGCCTGGCTGTCTTCTCGCGCGTCGTTAGTAGCCAGCCCTCCGGATTAGAACGCAGCCGGCATTGACATCGTTTGCATGATCAATGCTTGCGCAGAGAAACATGCAGCACCAGCAGGCCTTGATTGGGCACTCCCCCCTGCATGTCCAGGATTGTGCGCTACCAGGGCTGCATCAGACAAGACAGTGAGGCCTGGGCAAAGTCACGTCCCTCGTTGCACCTGCACTTCCATGGGACAGCTACACCCAGAGAACCGAAAGCCCTCAAACAAGCTATATACCCTTAAGATCGTACTCAGGATTCCACGTATAACTTCTGGGGATTAGTCCGTAATGAAAGGGTATAGAGCTTTCCGCGCATGTCAGGACGATCCTGCCCTTCTCATCTTCCTGGAGTACATGCCGAGCGGATCCATCAAGGGAGCAGCTCCGGCAGAATTTTGCGCATTTGATCTTGGGACAGTTTCCAGCGGGGCTTTGAACAGTTTCCAGGGAGCTTTGAACTGCTGTCCTCAAACCCTGAGCCTTGAACTTGCCTTTGCTGCATGTTGTGAGCTTGCGAGTCTGGTGCTTGAGAAGGCCCTACTGTAGCAATAGTGTAGGTTTCTTGGCTTAGCCATGTCTGCTGTGGTAAACAAAATGTAGCAATAGTGGTTGCTCACAGTGCGACCAACCGGGTGTGGCCAGTGTCTGTCTCAGTCGAGCTGCTGCTCTGAATCCGTCAAGTAGCGCCGGAAAGCGCAACCGGCAAAGAAGGAGCATCGCCCCATCTCCAGGTGCTCCAGAAGTTCGGTCCCTATGGCATCCGACTCGTGAAGAAGTACACAAGGTGCGACTGAAATTGAAATCCTGCCCCAAGCCGCAAGCTAACTCGTTCACAAAACCGGTCCCCTCTTCATTCCTTCTTGTCATGGCTTTACTTTAGGACTTTAGGCTCTTCATCTTCCTCTTGGGAAAGGGGCACTTCCACTCAAACCGCAGGCAGATCTTGGAAGGCCTGGACTTTCTCCATACGGAGAAGATCGTCCATCGGGATGTGAAGGGTAGCAGCCTCGGTGCTGCGTGCGCGGCCTCGCCTAAGCGTCACAAGCTTCGAGTGCCTTCAGAAGCACAGGTGCGAATATTCTCATCGACGCACATGGAGATGCCAAGTTGGCCGACTTCGGTGCCTCGCAGAACCTCGAGGTGTCGCAGTACCCCTTAGTTACCTTAGTTACCCCTTGGTCTCCTACTTAGGCCTCCAAGGAGCCCCTGGCCCCAGCAGATTCCCAGGTGTTCCTAACGTTCCATGGGTTGCTTGCAAGTCCTTTGGGCTTATGCCTGCTGGAGGCATTGCACACCCTCCACGGCACTTGCACCACCGGGGGCGTCAAATCCATCCACGGAAGTGTTTTCTGGATGGCGCCCGAGGCCCGTCCTGGACTTTGCTTGGCGAGTTTCGCGTTTGAGTGGTTAGATGCGGTAGCTTCTTCCCCGAACACTGCCCATGAGTTTAATGTAGACAGAGAGTACAGGTTCTGCGAGTTGTCCATACCTTTGTGCTCATTCCTTCGCTGGTGTGGTCGTGGTTCGTTTCTTGATGAGACACAGTCGTCTTCAGACTTACGTCTGTTGATACCGCAAGCATATCCGAATCCTTGTCGGGATAGGTGGCAACGTCCCTAAGCCAGTCTCAGTGTTCTGAGCGCGGCACAGGGCCAACGACCAGCCTTATATGCAATCTCGATCCTTGAACCCCAGCAATCGGGCAGGTGATGAAATACCGCGCTGGCAGAAGATCGGTCCTGCTGGCGAGTTCCAAGCAGCTCAGCAACTGCACCGGCTTAGGCCCAGGTTTGCAATGGTGAGCTGCGCTCTGCGGTAGGTAGGATCCTCCAAAGGCAGCGTTCATCCCAGCACTGAGCAGTGCAGCCCTGAGCTTCTGGCCAGGACATTTGGAGCCTAGGCTGCACCGTGATCGAGATGATCACAGCAGATGCACGCTGGGAAGGGGGGAGCGGGGGAATTGCGAACGTTTTACGGCCTCCGATCAGCATCCATGATGTCTGCCACATGTGGAAACAGTATCACGGGTGCCCAGCCAGCAGGTGACAGAGAGAACAGGGCTTCATCTTCTAAACTTGCCGGATCGCATAGTGCCTTTGGCATCGCGTCCATGATGGACGCAGGCACCATGGCCGAACCTTCGGCAGCGACCTCAGTGTGGCAAAACCGCAGGGCCTCTTCTGAAGTGAATGCTTGCCGGATGCTATGAATGTCAGGCTCGCCATATTTAGGACGTGGTCGATTCACATGCTTTCGTTCCTCGGGCTGGTCAATAAACCACGGAGTGCTCTGAAATCGTCACACAGATGTTTGGGGGGGCCCCCTCAACAGTCTGTAGATGTCAAGCAAGACTCATGACTCATGTCCCTCGACTCAGGGAGCACAAGTTGCCAGTTACGGAGATGCTGCGTCACATCGTGGACAGCGATGAGGAGCAACGTCCGGATTGTGTCAAGATAGGCCTCTTGTGAGTTCAAGTCACGAGTCGAACCAAGTCTTGGTCGACGCGAGGTTTGAGAGCTGTCCATCAAGCATGGTTTGTGACAACACAAACAGCACGGTGTTACTAGCTACGGTCTGCGCTACGTCCCCAGAGAACGATCCCCAAGACGCACCGCCCACCATCCCATCGTCCCTCAACGCGGCCCGGAGATCCCGCCACTTCCGGACAAGATCCATCCGGACTGCCGTAGCTTCCTGGAGCCGGGACGCCTGGGTCAGCCCTTGCCAAAGACTTCAAAGTAATTTCGTACCAGAAGGGTGCCTGTCTCGAAAAGATCCGGAGATGCAGCCTTGAAGGCTTGATTCGGATGGCTGCTGGGACAGCCCCAGGGAGTACCGAAGAGTTCTGACGCAGTGCACAGGGCTCTTGAAGGCCATGATGATATCGGGATAGAGCGTTTCCAGTTGACGATTTGGGAAACTTGCCAAGTTCGAGCATGCCCGCCACCAAGGCGCACCTTGAACCGGGACCACACAAGGCGACCCTACGCCGACAAGCTGCTGGGCCACCGCTTCGTCGTGGACGGGGGAGGGTCTCGGCTTTGGCTGGCGCATGTCGTGTGCAACACCTCAGCTCTCTCCGAGGCAAGGACAAGGGCCCGAAAGCTCAAAATGCGTAGATCCTGCGAGGAGGTAACCACTCCAGCAGCCAGCCCGGGTGGTTCCGCCTCGGGCTCAGTGGATCCAGCTTCAGCACCAGCCCCGTCAACAGGAAGTAACCGTGGCGGTTCACGGTTTCGTCAAGGACACGAAACCCCCCAATATCGAAGCGCATCATGAGCTTTACCTCCGTGGCGCGCAAGTGGAAAACCGGTGAGAATCGAAAGAATCGAAAGTGACTGCCCTGAGAGAATTCTTGTGGTAGTTAACCTTTCTGTAACCCCGTTTAAGGCAGCTGCAGCCTCGCCGGTCTCCGTGGCCTCGACGGTTGAGCCGGTGGCGAGCCCCTGACCCTCCTGCCCTCCGGCACCGGGGCTTCTGAAAGCCTCGTCTCGCTTCCATCGCCGTGAACGCCTAGCAGAGAGAGCCCAGGCCCAGATCCCAAAGCTGCAGGATTCTCCGGACTCATCCGCTCTTAAACTCACCAAGCCCCTGGAACCTTGAGAGTTGGCTCTTTCTGGGAATCGGCACACCTGGACTATCCAGGGCAAGTTGCCTTTGACAAGCCTTTCAAGGAGATCTCAAGAAATAGGGGCAGCGGTTCTTTGAAGAGAGGTCTGCATCAAGATTACAGCCCCTGATTGTTTGGCAGACTCCTTGACAGTCAGACATCTCGGATTGCGTTTCGCAGCGCGAGGAAATCATCCTGGTCCGCATGCCTCGGATTTGCGTCCCTCGTAGTGCCTTCGAGCTTTTGAGAGCGAAGGGAGGACAAATTGGGCTCGCAAGAGTACAAAAACGTGGCTCTAAGATCAGTTTTGTGAAATCAGACACACGGCCAGCAGCCCAGCAGCACGCATGCAGCAGTCTAGCCCACCCATGCAGTTACTCCTGAGTTCCCTAGTAGGCCCTGGTCACAAGTTAAGTGGACTCCAGCAGTGCTACGATGCCGCAGGCTGGGCAGCAGGTGTTGCTTAGCGAAGCACGGGGATTGCACGCACTCAAACTGTAGGATCATCCTTGCAGCTTTGTCCAGTGCCATTGATTTTCAACTCTCACTTTGATACATGTACGAGTAAATATCATTCTCAGACCATGAGAATGAGGAGTAAGGGACCCCATATGACCTGGAGGAGCTTGCAGATTTTGCTTCCAGGCTGTGGCTCCCCGGCGCAAGGGCATTGCGCTGGACTTCAGCCTCACAGAGACCCCGACGCCACGAGCCCAAGAAGGAAGAATTGAAGAAAGCCACGTTCGGTTTTGGGGTTCTGTGTAAGTTACGCAGCTTTAGGAAACTGGGGGCCTAGGCCGCTCACGTTCATCATACGATCACAGCCCAACGAGCCACGTTTCCCAATCTGTGTGTTGCAGTGCACCGAGGCTCATTTGCCTTGCACACTATTTATTGTAGGGGAGACCTTGCGACTTGGAACAGCGCCTTACGTGATGCACGAACAGCGGATGAAACCGAATGGATGCAGTTTCAGCCGTGTTGCCCCCTGTTCGCTGCCAGACTCAGGCCAGTGTACCTGGACACGAGGAGAAATGCAAGCCGCCACTCGGCGAAATGGGCTTCATCTGGGTTGCTTCTGTGTGTTACCTCAGTGATAGGAGTGATGTTGGGCTCGTGTCACCTGCTCCAGGCGAACACAGAGCGGCAATCAAGGATTACAACAACATGCTCATCAATGAGGTCAGAGTCTTTTCATTCGCCATGTTCGATCGACAGAAGCTTGTGCCGCCCTGCCCACGATGCAGCTGATGCTTTTGCTAACTTATGTAGCAACTTTAAGGAGGACTCGCCTTGCAAGCACCGCCATCCCGACCGGCCCCGATTTCAGAAGACGCATCCACAAGTCTCGCGCACTACTCACTACCCACTGCTGTGCAAGTAGCAGTCTGGCATGGTCGGTTGCCTCGTGCCTGGCATTGCTCTGCAGCCACCTAGACTTGAACTTCAACTGCCATACTAACAGCCACGAACGGAGCCATCCTGCATGTGATGCATTCAGACGAACTGGTTTCCTGTTCGTCGGAAGCCATGTTTGTCTATGCCAGGTCCGTGCGAAGAACGACATGCATCCAAGGCCTTCGTTTAGGTGACAAAGAGAGCCGACAACGACCTTTGGACTGCAGCCAATGACCCCAGAAGTGGTCACGCATGCCTCGACAAGGCACTGGACCGGCAATGGCTTTGCTGGTCACGCCGGAGTCTCAACTTCAGTGTGGTGCCGTGGGACACTACGAAGTTGACTGGAGGGAGTATGGCATGGGGCATCTCTCGGGCACCTAGGTGCAGTATGTTCCCTACATTGGCACCGACCCCCTTCGACCGGGGGTGAAGTTCGAGCGGGACATGCAGGCAGCCTTGCACCAACCACGAATCGTAGTCTTAGTCCACACATCCTTTGTGCATGGTGCTTGCTCCGATCGATGCTCATGCAGGTGTGCCTCTAAACTCGAGCCCTGCGAAACCAGATTCTGATTGTATGCAACGGCGCAGATTTCTACGATGCCCATGGAGAATGGCAAGCCTCTCAACATCTCCCAGTCGTGGGCCAAGTCTATCGGGTGACACAGTGTGAGAAACGAAAGTTCCAACCAGGTCCGGATCCATAGTTAACCCCAGCAGGAATTAAGAGTCTTGTGGCCACTATAATCCCTTGGACTGTCGCTACCTTGCAGCATCGAGCGCAATTTCCCGAGGATGACTCGATCGGCCAGTGAGGTGCTCAAAAAATGTGACACACCTGGGGCCATCTTCGACACTGTTTGGTACTTGCTGCGGCTTCGTTACGAGCTGTACCTTCATTCTCTGCCTCAGAGTACGGTGCATGGCTTTTAGAAAGCTTCTGCGGCCGAGGCATGGTGAAGTTCGTGAGCGGAGTGGACGAACGGGACTGGACCTTGCATTGCTCTCTCGGTCTCGCGGATCTCGCGCATGCCCAGCTGGCGAGCACAAGTCGCAACTGCGTGTCTCCAGAACTCCTCGTCGCTTTGAGAGCTTCAGCTCTAAGGGCCCACTTTTCGGCTGCAGGCTTTACACTGAGCGCCCAACCCGCCTTGGAGCGCAAGCCACGAGCCCAAGGTCTAGTCCACACAATAAGAGACAGATATACAACATGCCATCCATCTGGAGCAGTGACACTAAAGAAGAAGAAAGCTATCATGTTGATGAGTAGGACGGGGTGGTGATGAGGGTGACGAGGAGGAGCCTGATGACATGATGGTTAACACCATGCCACTCATCACCATGAGCATCGGTTAACTTCTGCATCACCATCAATGGCATCAATGGCATTAGCATCCTTACCACCATCATCTCCACCACCATTGCCACCATGACCACCATCATCCCACCACCGCCACCACCCCCGCCACCACCACCACCGCCACCCCCACGACTATCACCACCACCAACCCCAACCCCACCCCACCGCCACCCCCACGACCATCACCACCACCACCCCCAACCCCACCCCACCACCACCCCCACCGCCGCGCCGCTAGTAGCACCATCCCGCCACCACCACCGCAACAGCAACAACTCTTTCATCGCGACTGCTGTCGCGACATTTAGGTGCTGACAGCTGCATGGAGCGTCAGGA